CAATATAAAACAAAGTATTAAATAATTGAAGGCCAGGTTCATTATCATTGTATGAAGCTACATTATAAGAATTTACAGGTTGATAATTTAAAAAAGCTATAGATGAAAATATTAATAATGCTATTAGACTAAAATTTTTTCCGGCCATTGCCATCTATTATAATTTGTTCTAACTATTTGAAGGAAAGATAGTCAAAATCAAAAGTCAAAAGTCATAAGTCATAAGAAAATACATATCGCTATAAGTTATATAGTATTGAATCCCGTGTAATAATAATAAAAAAGTATTATTACCAAAATGATGTAAATAACAATTACATTATTATTATTATTATTATAGTAAAAATAGTCGGATTTTATTATGAAATTACTAAATTTGTCTGTGTAAAATTAATTAATTTAAAACTTTCTGAACCTTATAATATGCAGGTTGAGTACAGTGAGTATTGTACAAACATAAATCTAACACAACCACTCTAGAACCTTATAATATCTTTTGCAATATTACATAATAGTCGTAGGACATTACATAACCATTAATAAAAAATTTTCAATCAACATGGAATTTTAATCGAATCATTCAAGCAAGATGTGATGCAGACACAATTCATGGTGCAAGATGCAATTCATACAAGACATATTCATTTGTCACAACAGAAAGTATTTCTATACTTGTAAGATCATTTACAAATTAAAAGAATACAGTAATATATAGATATTATTATAAAGATATTGAATTTTTTTTATATTTTATTCTTATGGTGATAGGAATGATTATAATGATACCAGGAAAAGGAGGAAATGAATATGAAGCGACTAAAATTGGGTATTTTATACATAACTATTAATATTTTGAAATTTGGTTTATGTGATTCTAAAGATAATAACCATATATCTAAATAATTATGAATCAATTCCTTATAATAAAAGTCAAAAATTTTCCAACACAACCTTCCAAGTGATTAAAATCGACTTTATAAGGAACACTTTGACACGACTAACTATTACTGTTGAGCTTGCTTTATTCTGTTAAAGTAAATGTAAAAAAAAAGTGACCTTTGCAGCCTGGCGTAGAATAACAAATAATTAGGCTAATCTCCTATTTTAATAGTTGTTAGGAAGTCCTAGTCTGGCTCTAAAAATTTTATTATGATTGAAAAAGTCATTGTTAAAAGAAAATCAACGAATTTTTTTTCTACTATGTATCTTGAATTATTAATACATTCAAGTGGACGATAAAAATTTTATTCGTGTAATGGTTATAATGAATGACACTTGATATATATAAAGATATTAAGCCAAAATATTTGTCAAGGTATCCAAGATCGTTGAAATAATTATTATTTGTAAACTGCGAGCAGCGAACACATATGTTACAGTATATTGTTTATTTAGGAAAATATTATCATTCATTATATTATCATTTACGATTTATTATACGTGTAATTGATATTAATTTTAACAAATGGGTAAAATTTTTTGAAAATAACTATTAAACCATCTTCCCACCCTGTATATATATATTAATATATATATAATCCGGTCCTAAAATTTAGGACTGTAATTCAGAGGTACCAGTCTTTTAAATACCAACACAACCCTAGTTAATTCCTCCAAAATCTTTATAATATTAAATGCTAAAAAAAATGGTCTCGTTTTATATAATTTTGATTTACATATTGATCCATTAATAGTAATAATGGTGACGAATTAGGAAATAATAACAATAGTAACAATATAATAATAATAGTAGTAATAATCATAAACATGATTTTGGACCTAATGTTCTTGAATCAGTTGTCTGGTAATTTTAAACAAGGAGCATTAATAAGAATGATTAGTATAATTTTTGCTATCTATTTTAAGTTATTTCTTGGTTTTGTCTGGGTGTTCCTT